AACCAGAGGTGGACATGGAGTTGTTGCAAAGTAAGGTAAGAAGAAAGAACCCTGACCGTGTGAGTTCTATGAATGCACAGACAGTAAATATGCAGAGCATGTGCAGGTGTTTACTGATGGATCTAAAGACCCGGATACGGACCAAGCAGGAGCTGCTGTAGCGATCCCATGTTACAAGAAACAACAAAACAACCAGGCAAAGTAATTGTTTGCAGTGACCAGTGCCGGCGCTCCGCACACACACATCACGCACTGCGCGTAGGGCACCAAGTGCCTGGGGGGGCATCAAAAAATCTGGGACGTGAAAAATCATCACAGTAGGCTACTAGTATAAATAACAAATAAAATATGTCTAAAGCATGTTAATATGCAAAAGCAATACAAAAGTAATAGGCCAAGACCAAATTAGTGGAGAAAAAGGGGAACCTCCTGTGCGCCCCCGCCTCCCCCCACCTCCCAGTGGTTTGTTCGATTATTCCTCAAATCTCAAATGTGGCAGACAGCTTTGAAATGGCTTCGAAAAGGCATCAAGAGTCGGGGGCAGAAAAAAGAAGAGACAGCGGGATGATGCTAGTGCGTCGCTCTCAGGTAAGACAATGTTTTAAATCAGGGGTCCCCAAACTTTTTCTTGTGAGGACCGTTACTAGCGGTCAACGGGCGGCCGGCTGGCCACATATACTCGCGCTCATAATATCCGCACGGATCGCCGGTGGGCCGTATTCGGTACTCGTCCGCGGGCCGCCCGAAGTTTCTGTTACCGTTACCGTTTTTATTATCATTTGTTTTTTATGGTATCATTTACGTTTTTGTTATCATTTATGTTACCGTTATCGTTTCTGTTACCGTTAGCAATAAGACTCTCTCCAAATACAGACAATCTGGGTTTGATGAGGCTGTGTCAACTGCCAAGGAACTCTGTGAGGCTCTGAATATTGAACCAGAGCTTAAGGAGAAAAGGCTCAGGAGCACAAAAAGGCTCTTTGCATAAGAAGCTGCTGATGAGCCCCTCAATGATGCCCTTAAAAAGCTTGAAGTCACATTTTTCAATTGTGTTGGGGACTCTGCTATCATGTTACTACAGGAGAGGTTTGGGACCATGAATCGGGTCAAAGAAAAATATGGAGTGCTGCTTGACTTCAGCAAAGTGAACGGAATGTCCAAGGAGGACTTGAAGAAACACTGCAAGGAAGTCCACAAGACACTGACGGATACGGGACTGGCTGACATTGATTGACCTGAGAAGATGCAGTAAATCATCAACCTTCCTCAGCTTTCACCACAGACATCTGCCTTGGAAATCCTGACATTTCTGCATAACCATCGGCTTCAAGAGGTATATCCCAATCTGTGGATTGCTCTCCGTATTGCACTGACTCTCCCTGTCACAGTTGCCTCTGCTGAGCGAAGCTTTTCAAAGCTCAAACTAATGAAAACGTACCTGCGCTCATCAATGGGGCAGGAACGTTTTTGTGGTCTGGCTGTCATCAGCATCAATGGGGACGTGGCTCAGAAACTGTCATATGACCTGGTAGCTGATTTTGCAGCTGGGAAATGCAGGCGTGTGCCTCTGTAGGGCCTTTGACAACTGATGGTAGTGAAAATGTTTGTAATATAGTTCGATCGGATAGCAGAATGATCTCCTTTATAGAGATGGTAAAGTAAATTCTACTGTGCAGTTTGTACTTATGTATGGTTATTTGCACTTTAAAATTTGCACTTTATTATTATTATTTGTACTTATGTATATTATTTACTGAAGAAATGTGCACATTATTACTTACACGGTTATATACTTGAATACTTTCTGCGTTTACAATGTTCAGTTCCAAATCTGTGTTTTTAGTAATTGTGGTGGTATTTGGTGTTTATAATTTTATCTTTTATATAATTTATTTCTTTTCATGTTTGTTTATGTAAATTATTTATGTTTAGAAGTTATTTGGGGAATAAAGAGAACCTAACTAAGAAATTCTGAATGGTTGTTATTCCTTTGGTGGTGGTGGTGGTTGGTTGGTTTGTTGGTTGGGGGGGCCACCACCAAGCATTTGTGCTTAGGCCACCCAAATGGCTAGCGCCGGCCCTGGCGGTGACTCCATGTCTGCCCTTGAAAGCCTGAAGCCAGGAAGGTCCAATACCCGACCAGATCTGGTGCATAAAATAATGGGCATGAACTTAAGAGCAGTAGGACATGGAGTTGAAATTATTTATTTATGGACTCCTGCCCATGCAGGTATCCAAGGAAAGGTGGATAAGCTAGCCAAACAAGCACTAAAGGAAAACTAAGTACAAATAGATATTACGCTATTTAAAGCAGACGGAAAGGGCATCGTCAAGAAAAACATCACCAGAGTATGGCAACAACAATGGGACCAAGAGACGAGGGGGAGACACCTACACGCAATCCAGAAGAAAGTGAGCAGTGTCAAATTCAGGGGAGGAAACCGGAGAGAAGAAGTCACAATGGCAAGACTAAGAATAGGTCACAGCAACCGCGAAACACACTGCACCTGATGGGGAAGCATCCAACTGGCCTCTGTGAGCACTGCCAGGCACCAGAAACTGTAACACGTTATATCAGAGAGGAAAGACATGCAAGGGATGAAAGGAAGCGAGACAAACAGTGTACTAGAGTGGGGGTCTAGTAAGCTTAGAAGAAGGTGCTTTATACATGTTTGCGGGCCACAGGGCTGATGGGGAAAGTATAAGCGGTGGGAGCCAGAAGATGGCGGTAATGCAACAAAAAAGGATGCAAGCGACCGTTAAACACCACAGAAGAAGAATAAGCCACGGCAGATGGAGTGTTGTGCAAAGCTGAATTACCTACGCAAAGTCTGGAGAGGCAGCCGGTAAGAGAAGGAACTTTCCAACCGCTTTTTAAAACCCTATCTCGGTCTGCTGCTGGTCCTGCACTGGATGAAAATAGTTGCATTTTAAAATGCTTGACTACATTTTTGAAGCGTATTTTTTGCCTTGTGATGTTGCTGGGAACTGGTGTGTTCTATGTTTCTTGTCATACATGTTGGTGAAGTTTGTGTTTGTGTCCCGTCTTACGTCTGATTTTATTGTGGCGTCTAAACCCCCTCTCGTTTCAGGTGCCTTGCCCTTCCTCAGGTGTCTCCTGTCGATTGTCTCCCCTGATTCCTAATTGTCTCCACCTGTTCCATCACCTCCCTCATGGATACTTATTGTCTGCGTCTCCCTTTGTCCTGTGCCAGTGTGTCTTGTAGTTGTGCATGTCCACACCCGCGTTAGTGTTGTGTTTGTGAAAGGATCTTTTGTATTTGGTATTATTAGATATAGGAATTATTGGAATAAATCTCCTGCAGTCAAACCTCTCTGCGTCCTTGTCCTCCTCCCCGGCTCCGGCCTGACTGACATTTCTGTTTTGTTTTTGAAGGTTTTTTACCCGATTGCCTGAGCAATGTACCTGAGATAATCACAAAGGAAGAGACCAAATGCTGCTAACCTGAAAATAAAAGTAAAACATAGCTACTGCCCGGGGCTCAGTCATTCAATTCCTCAGCAATTTGAGTGGAATCCAGTAACCTAAATCTCCACGTAGAACATTCAATCCCTCTTTCAAGTTGGGGAAAAGTGCAACAAAGTAGGAAGACTCCGGCAACTTGACAATAATAACTAAATAATTATCCCCAATCAGCCAACATTTTGTCTCTGGACTGAGGTCATGCGCATTATGTCAAGACAATCAAACATTTAAGCAATAAAGGACATGCTTTTTGTGAGGTCTCCTACCCCCCATGAGCAATGGTATAGACAATACGTAAACACACAACATCATTGCTTAGGATAAAGAATTATCAAGGCTCAAACACAATTCAATGTAGACGGTGGCGCATGTCCCATGTCGAAGTGTCCCTGAGCAAGGCACCTAATCATTAATTGCTCCCCGGGCGAAAATGTAAAAACGATGGGTTAAAAATGCAATGTAAGTCGCTTTGGATAAAGTGTCAGCTAAATGACCCGTAATGTAATATGACACAGTTACCCATTGTTTTGGGACAACCATAACTACACACTTATGAAGCCATTAAATGCATAGAAAAATTACAAAGCTGAACAGAAAAGTAGTTATTCACAGAAACTGAACAATGAGAAAGTTTTCTAGAATAATATTAATGTTCTAAACAATGTTATTCTCTCAGAAGGTGTTTCCATCCACCTAATGAGCAGCACCAACTACCTATTCAAGGATATAACAATTGGGTATTGCAATCATACAATTAGAAAACAAAGTTTAGTTTTAGACAAATCCACACAACACACAAAAAATGGAATATATCTTCGAAAACCGCACTAATTGTGATAATTAGGTAACCAAGGTTTAGAATAAATATTCACAGATGTAGAGATTAGAAAGAAAGATCTTAACATGAAATGCGACATTGACACAATCATTCCATGTCATTTACTTCTGGTGGATCGCAGAGGATGAGTGCTGGTGCTGATGTACAAGATTCACATCACATATAAGAAATGATATCTATTAACTGAGGATGTTGTTGAGTTAGTCTTATTTTCCTTTAAGTGTAGTTTTACTTAAAGATGGGAAGTTGTCTTACTTTTGTCATTCATTTGTGAATATCTTTGTTGGCAACAGTTACTATTATAATATGTGTCCTTCCAGTTGTTGGGTTTGAGGTCATGCAGATGTAAATCTATAGCCATTCAATAAACTGATAGGTAGACTAAATCAGTGGTTCTCAAAAGGGGGTATATGTACCCTTTGTGTTTACACTGCTTATGGGGTACTTGGCTAAAAATGAATGTTTGTAGAGGGTACATCACTTGAAAAAGGTGGAGAACCACTGAACTAAAGGATCCAAACACCTCTCAATATAACCTAAAACAATTCAAATGCAGCACAAACCAGAGCCTCCTGTGGAACCATTGGGTTTAATCAGAAACTCTCTGAAACTGTACAACAAGCAAACATCAGATGTGAAAGGAGGACGCCGAGTCTGTGCACATACAAAACGCACCTCTTTGGCGAGTCTGTGGGCTTCATAGTAGGGCCTCGCTTTGTCAATGCACACGCCGAGCTGGGAGCCCTGAGAGTTGAGATTCCGGGCTGAGTCGCTGAGGATCCTCCTGTAGCTGGACCGGGCCTCCTGAAGGAAACACAGCACCAGTCACATGCAGTGAGCCCTAGTCTGCATGGACACCGCATGGAGGCTGTGCTTTTAAATGAAAAAACTTCCTCACATCCAGCTGCAGCTCGAGCTTGTTGATCTGGCCGCTGGGCTGGTTGAGCTGCTCCAGCTCCTCCTGGGAACACGGGGACAGAAGGTGTGTTTTTTAATCATCTCACGGGTCTATATGTGTTGTATTCAAAAGCACTTCACTGTGTACTAGATGGGGTGGCTGAAAATGCACCACACGGGGTTAGATGGGGGTGGATGAGAAGCCACCACACGGGGACATAAGGGGTGGATGAAAAGGCACCACACGGGGACAGAAGGGTGTGGATGAAAAGCACCACACGGGGACTGATGGGGTGGATGATAAGCACCACACGGGGACAGATGGGGTGGATGAAAAGCACCATACGGGGACTGATGGGGTGGATGAGAAAGCACCACACGGGGACAGATGGGGTGTATGAGAAGCACCACACGGGGACAGAAGGTGTGGATGAGAAGCACCACACGGGGACAGAAGGTGTGGATGAAAAGCACCACACGGGGACAGAAGGGGGTGGATGAAAAGCACCACACGGGGACAGAAGGGGTGGATGAGAAGCACCACACGGGGACAGAAGGGGTGGATGAGAAGCACCACACGGGGACAGAAGGGGTGGATGAAAAGCACCACACGGGGACAGAAGGGGTGGATGAGAAGCACCACACGGGGACAGAAGGGGTGGATGAGAAGCACCACACGGGGACAGAAGGGGTGGATGAGAAGCACCACACGGGGACAGAAGGGGTGGATGAGAAGCACCACACGGGGACAGAAGGGGTGGATGAGAAGCACCACACGGGGACAGAAGGGGTGGATGAGAAGCACCACACGGGGACAGAAGGGGTGGATGAGAAGCACCACACGGGGACAGAAGGGGTGGATGAGAAGCACCACACGTG